GTGCGGACACAGCACACACACACACACACACACACACACACGCAGACACACACACACACACACACACACACACACACACACACACACACACACACACACACACAATCAGTTTTATGTCTGCTGTCTCTCTCTTGTTGTCTGTCCGTCCTCTGATTTTTTCCAAGTATTTTTGTGTTTCCAACTGAGCCCCCTCAAGCAGTGCCAAACTGCCAGTCATTCCTCTTTTTGGAGTGCCTACATCACTCTTAGGGGGGCCACTCGGTCCGGGATGTCTTCGTGTCCTGTGAGTGATGACAGATGTTCGTCTGAGGGACTCCCTGGCTCAGCGGGTGGCGGGAACCAACAGTCTACGGTGTTCAATCGTGATGTGAGTAGGTGATGTGCCGCTTTGCTCTGTGTTGGATGTGTGGACGGCCTCGTCTGTGGTCCGCAGCTGCCTTGCTGCCTGTCTCACTTGTTTCGCATGTTGTTCTCTGGAGGTTGCTGCGTTCGCTATGTGGTGTGGCTGTGCTGTTAGTGTTGCCTTGCGCTTTGCTGATCCACTGCGTTGCTGCCTTGCTGCCCATCCGCTGGGCGTGCCTTCTGTGTCCGTTGCTTGCCCAACTTGTAGCTTGGTTGCATTGTCGGTGTTGCCTTGTGCTTCACCGCGTGGTTGCTGTGCTGCTCAACGGCTCGCCCTGTTGTCCCCTGCAGTGTCCTTGCCTTGGTGGTGTTGCCTTTGTGCTTCACTGCCTGGTTGCCACGCTGCATGTCCTGTGTGCCATGTCGTTCCTTGCAGTCGTTTCTGGCGTTGTGCAGCCGTGTTGCCTTGACCGCGCTGCCTGGTGCTCCACAGGGTTGCTGCCGGCTGTTATGTTCCGCTTAGGGACATTTGGTCTACTAGAATACTGTGAACTACTTAGTTACTACTACTACTACCACTTAGTCTACTAAAATACTGTAACTAAGTTACTACTACGACTACTACTTAGTCTACTAGAATACTGCTACTACTACTAGAATACAGTAACTACTTGTCTACTAGATTACTTTAACCACTTAGTCTACTAGAATACTGTAACTAATTAGTCTACCAGAATACTGTAACTACTTAGTCTACCAGAATACTGTAACTACTTAGTCAACTAGAATACTGGTACTACTAACTTCTTACTTAATACTGGTTCTACTACTAGAATACTGTAACTCCTTAGTCTACTAGAATACTGTAACTACCGTGTTCACCCAAGTAGAGTGTGTGGTCACTGTGGTTGCATCTGGACTGAAACTCGCCCCCTGCTCAGCTATACTGACAGGGCAGTTTTATTTCGGGAAAGACAGAGCTGTTTCTTTTTCTCTTTCTACACGACAGTGTCGTAATCATGTTTGATGGAAAAGGAAAGCCCAGCAATGGTAATATCAGCGACTTGCATGGACAAGCGCGATAAGCAGCATACCTGAATCAGTCGTCCACTTCATATGGTTAGGCCAAATTAACGTACAATGTCATCCCAAACATTTGAAAGCTAACAGCACCAGCAGGCTCAGCAGTGATGCAATGAACTAGAGCCTGGGGGCTAGGGCACAAGGCAGCAAGGGAAATGACAAAAAGGAGGAAGGAAAAAACCAGCAAGGCGTACCCAAGAGCCTAGCTCAGTGGGTACACCCATGAACTGATAAAATACAGACCTGAGTTTGAATCCGGATTGAACTTGATGAGTATAACCGAATAAAATGTTTCTGAATTGCCCGGGGCTGGTCAGCTCAATGATGATATCTCAAGACCGTCGCCCTTTTTGAAAAAAAAACAAAAAAAAAACAAACCAAAGCAAGGCAGCTGACACCTAGTCAACTAGGCAAGCAGCATGGGAAGAGAAGCTTAGGCTGCAAGTGCAAAATGCAGTAAAGTGAAAGGTAGTACAGCACCACAGAGTGAGGCAAAGGATGCTGAGCCAAAAAGGCAATGAATATCCACGTCGTCCAGCAACTGCAAGGCACAAAGGCTTGTGTCGCGAGCTTCCGGTTTCGGTTTTGCCCTGCCGCATCCCGGACAGCCTGGCGTGGGCCAGTCCCTGGCCTGACCAGGTTTATCCCTTTGGGCATGCTCCCAACCCTTATGGGTCCTCTGCCGTCCATCGGCAGGAGCTGCGGTCCTCACGATACTCTAGTTATATATGTTTAGATTCTCTAGAACCTTTCCTTCAAACATGATTTGCATGTTCGGTGGGTTTCGTTCGTCACTGACTGGCCTAGCTCAGTTGCTTGACCCATCAACTGTTAAAAAACAGACCCGAGTTTAAACTCCAATGGAATCAGATGAGTAAAAACTACCTCTCAATTTAACTGCCAGGGGCTGGTCAGTTCGTAGAGGATATCTCAAGGCCAAACTTAGAGGCAAAAGAAAGAACATACTAGCTGCATGTCAACTGTGGAGTTTTTGAGGGAAAAAAGAACAAACTTCTCCGAGAATGTTCTAATATTATGGGATTGTGCAGTATGGTCATGAAATTTCAATGGCATTACAGATTAAAGAAAGGTCCTCTGGTCGGCTTTCATTACCTTTTCCCCCTTTTTGTTGGCTGTACTCTCGCGGGGCCTTCTTCTAAAATCAGGTGGTGGATTGTCTAGGGGAGATCCCGAAGCAAGCTGGGCATTGGCCCCCGTACTCTGGGTTGAGATGTGGAGGGATTCGCGACCTCCTTTTGCTCATATATAAGGCATCAGGATCCTTTTTCACACAACACTACTGGATCCTTTTTGACACAACACTACTGGTTTGAAGTTTTCGACAAATGAGTGATGATGTGTTTTGTGTTTGTCGTTCATGGTTTGGCTTTTGTTGTTCATGTCAATTTGAACAACTTGTGATACACAGCATCTGAGCTGCTGTTTGTCACTCAGGGGACAATAATGCTCGGCTTTGTGGACACCAAATCGGTATGTAACTTGTTTGAATTCTATATGAAAACCGCATGTCTAGACGTGTGTGTGCACACTTGGACGCGGACGTTCAATGACATATGTATGTATGTATAACAGTATAACTGTGTGTAGTTAAAAAAAAACACAAAAACAAAAGAAAACAAAACGAAACAAAACAAAACGAAACAAAAAACAGAACCCCATGGTTCTGGATCCTACCATTCTTAATTTTGTCTTTTGTACGTAGTGTATCCAAGTGGAATCTGGCCGCTTGGGCCATTTTACCGTCGTCCAAAATCAAGATGGATCATGCACGTTATAATTTTATTTTATTTTATTTATTTTTATGACATACGTACAAAAGACAAAATCAATGTACATAAAGTTGTATGTATGTATGTATGTATGTATGTATGTATGAATGTATGAATGTATGACATTGTATGTATGTATGTAAATGTGTGTCTCGTACATCTCTAAATGAAATCAAAGTTTCCAGTCGACTGTGCTACCTGCAGACACCTCGTGGCCTTCGGGATCCATCTGATCTGGGCCATCTGGCAATCAAGGTCTGGAGGACACTGCTCTTGCATTGTCGTTGCCGTAATTCATTAGCAAAGGTGCCTGCTCAGCTGCGATTTGTATTCTATTTCAATTAATGCACATCATACATAATAAGAAAGATGTACCGATAGATGACATGGAATGAGTATATGAAGTGCCATGGCCTTAGCTAGTGTCATGGTACCCTACCCTACTCGATGGCGTCAGATGGTCCCTACCGTCTTCTGTCGAATACAATGGAACGCAATAGGACTATGTGATGGGCAACGCTGGAGAGAGAAATGGGCATATTAGTAATACTGGAGAGAGGGCTCTTCCGAGCTGCATTATACATGTTAATGACAGGACAAATAACTACAGTCTACAGGCCTTTCCGCATACCAGTCTGGGTGAAGAGGGCAAGACTTAGATTCAATAAATTAAATGTCAGTTTTTTCTTTTTCCTTTGAAAAAAGGGAAGGACGAGCAGGCGCTCATCTGCATTGAACAGTCAGGACCAGTACCTAAAAAAGAGGTCTCAGTAGCAAGAACCAGTGCCGAAGGTCTACGATCCATATTACCCTCAAAGCTGCCACCCTGCGAAACACCAATACATACTCGTAAAATTCACCAGCAATGGAAGCAAACTATCTCCAACCTTTTTCGAATACGTACCAGAATGGCAAGAAATAATTTGCTACGAGCCTACGAGGGGGAAGTTGAGAAACTGAAAATTCTTAAGCATTTTGTGTGTGTGGTTTGAATACGTAGCAGAATGGGAAGAAATAATTTGGTACGAGCCTACGAGGGGGATCTTGAGAAACTGAAAATTCTTAAATCACCAGTACCTTTGACGGTTCGAAAATACTCGGCCTCCGACCTTTCAGGAGGCCAAAACATTTTCACGGCCGCCGATCAGATTTATCAACGGCAGCCGTTGTCGGTACCGGCCTCCTAAAAGTTCGGGTACTGGCCAGTACCACGTCGAAAATAGGCTCGGAGGTACTAGTGGTTTATTTTTGTGTGTGTGTGTGTGTGTGTGTGTTGTCATGTACGCTATCCACACCTCCACAAAAAAAATGCATGATTGTACCATACCGTTTTGTCAGAAGTTTCACCGACTCATCAGTAGGTTCTCTCTCTCTCTCTCTCTCTCTCTCTCTCTCTCTCTCTCTCTCTCTCTCTCTCAACTATAAAGTCTTATATATATGAAATTTTATGAATATGTATCCGGTCCATTTTGGCCTGCATTTGCCCGCGAAAGATCACATTTGTGGGGGAACACGAATCAGTGCTACACAGGTCCTCATTTAGATATAGGAAAAGCACAGGAAACGACCAGAGAATACACAAGACGGACAAAGGAACGAGAAGAAGGTAAATTATAGAGAATAATAATTTTGTGTGTGTGTATGTGTAGATGTGACACATCACCCATGGGAAAAGGATGACTGCGACAGACTCTTCATCCGACTCTCACCAACGCATCGGGAGGTTGAACCTGGATAGTCTGCCAAGGATGCCTTTTACTGATGGATGATATCTCACCAGCTTGCTCAAAGTTTGCAAACTTGTGAGTGTTAGTTAAAATACAAAAAAGTTAAAAAAAACGTTTTTCTGAACCGCATTGGCAGTTGCTCCATCAGACACTGTTTGGAACCACCTTTTTTTTTTTTTTTTTTTTTTTGCTCACCACATTGCACTGCAGGGGACACCACTTGTAGAAGAGCATTACAGCCATGCTTCCCCACCACTGCCACCAGAAGTGTTTCTTGAACCACATATTCAGTTTCAAATTGGCAGTTGCTCCATTAAACATCACAAGGGAAAACAGATAAAAGAATGAGACAAGATGCAGAAAGAAACACATGAACAACAATTTCGTTAAAACTTAAAACTTAAAACAGACATTTTAATATGATTTTATATGTTTTGAACAAAATTTTAACCTACTTATTATTTGGCCCTAAAAATGTCTGACTCACGGTCTTAGGCTCTTATAGATCCTTAGGGTCCGTACGGACTTTTAAGTTGCAGGTGAAATCCAGATACATCCAAGGGGTCTGGCATAAAATTTTTCTGACGGTGACATTTTAGGGCCAAATAACTAGGTTTCAATCTCGTTTATAAGAATATAGAATGTCCGTTTTAACACAAATCATGGTAGCTGTTCACGACGAAAGGCAGACAAGAAGCCCCGGCGGCAGTAGAGTGGCAAGGCCAAGCAGGCGAGCTGCTAGTCAACAAAAGACGAGCGGATGGGCAGCAAGCATCAGGGCAGGACCGGACTGGCAAAGAACCCCCCCACACACACAGCACGAGCTAATATAAAGCAGATCCTACTAACTCCTGCCACTAGTAGAATTGTACAGACTGTAGACTCACACCCCGGCATGAGTCAAGGAGTCTTGCCAGAAAGGCAGACAAGAAGCCCCGGCAGCAGTAGAGTGGCAAGGCCAAGCAGGCGAGCTGCTAGTCAACAAAAGCCGAGCGGATGGGCAGCAAGCATCAGGGCAGGACAGGACTGGCAAAGACCCCCCCCCACACACAGCACGAGCTAATATAAAGCAGATCCTCACCAACTCCCGCCACTAGTAGAATTGTACAGACTGTAGACTCACACCCCGGCATGAGTCAAGGAGTCTTGCTTCTGACAAAAGTTAATGATCATGACCAGGGAACAGAGTGACACTCACCCATCCCTCACCCAGCATCCCCTGTAAAGTGTTGTTCGACGCTGAGGCTTTCTTTCACGTATGTATTGTACGGTCGGTCTTGTGAAGTTCAAACTCTTACAGTGGGTAGAACACAAAGCAAGATAAGCGATGGATTACATAATCGAGCAAAGAAGGAAAGAAAACTTATGCTTGCAGTTCCAATAAACATGCACTCAGTCTGACTATTTGACAGATGTTAAAGACGCTGCATTTATTTAGAAACTTTGGAAAGCATGGGAATTGCCAGAACACACAATTAGAGGACAACATGAAGATGTTAATGATTTGACTGAAGAAGACAATAATTTATAGATAATTTAATTGAGTGTGACACTGTGTGTATGTCTAGAATGTGTGCATTACTAAGAAGTGTCCTCGGCGGTGTGGCTGTGCTTTGCGTGATGGAGCAGAGACTCCGTGTGAATGTGCTTAAACCAGGTGATATCGCGCTTATCCCTCAAGGGTGGTGGCATTTCCACATGAACATTGGCAAGGAAGCCTGCCAGTCACTGTCTGCTTTCAGCAGTGAGGAGGCGGGAGTAATTGTAACCCATAGTGCCTTGCTCACTGTGCCAGATGCTGTCCTTCGTGCGACTACGGTAAACCACCCTATTTCTCACCACCAACTCTCTCCTTCAACCTCGTTCTTCAGAAACTGAACCCCACAACCTTTTATCCTTTTTTTTTGTTTGTTTTTAGCAAAGCTTAGGCTACAGTGAGTGCAGTCTATCTATGGGGAGCAACACATTCTGGGAGACGGGCCCTGGGCCAATGCCAAGCAATTAATTGCCAAATCCAAACCCAAGTCTTAGAATGTTTGGTCAACCACCAGCACCTTTCCCACATATCGGTCTTGCCCCCTTACTGCGACTTTTGGAGGCCCGAAACGCAACATGAGCTACTGACGAGATTTTGTCAACAGTGGCCAGGCCCTGAAACTTGAGGTGGTTAACAAACGTGTATTTGTTTTTCAAGCGGCCACTGCTGGACAAAGGCAGGACCAGGTGGTTTAAACACAGTAATAAACAACATTCATTGCCCTTAAAAAAAAATAAAAATGGGACCAGCGTCACTAGGCAAGGTGATATGACCAACCTCCCCTAGTGTGCGATCCAGTTACTCCACTCTATTGGTGGGGAGCCTGTGCCAGGGAGTTACACTTGTCAACACCAGAGTATCAAATGACACAGCAACACTCTACAAGATGCTCTTCGACGGAGGATCCCTATCGCGCACACTCAGCTCTCTTGCCAGCGACCATCACCCTGTCAGCTCAGCTTCTGCACTGATCTGCCCAGATCCTGCATTCAGTCGCAGCGATCCGGCGCGCGATCGTGCAAAGCCCCAGTAGACCCATCAAAGCTGTTCGACTCGCTGATCACCACCAAAGCCTAGCCTGTGTGGCCACTCCTCCAAGCGAGTTGGCACTTAGCATGAGAGAGAGCAAAAATGGTGCGCTTACGAGAATTGTAGTTGCGGAGGAAGCAGAGAAGGTATGCCAAAGAGAGAGAGAAAAGAGGAGAGGGAAGGGAGAGGGAAGAGAGAGCTCGTAGGGGCCATGTTGATCGGACCAAAGTGATCGTAGCCAAATGGATCGCACAGTGAGGGGTCAGAGCGTCTCAACACGCTGCTCGCCGACTTCTACGGTCACTTGGGAGTCAATTTGGCAAGACCCTTTTCTGAGTGTGGACGAAGGTGATAAAAGAGATTACAAGAGATGGTGTACGCACTGTATGGCGGGACCAAGRTTGAACAGGATCRACAAGAAGAAGGTTCTGAAGAAGAAAAAGAAGGCGCAAAGCGGGGGAGTAGAAGGCAGTTACAGTCTGGTGGTGAAGGTGTGAAGAAAGAGAGGCGGTTAAGGTTGGAGCATCAAGAAGAAGAAGAAGGCGGAAAGTGGGGGGAGTAGAAGACAGTTACAATATAGTGTTGAAGGCCCAACAGCAAAGAACTCAAGGAAAGATTGCATGGAAAGGGCGCTCGCGCAACGAATGCATTCGTGGAAAACGTAAAGGCACCAAAACAGTTATGTGAAATGCAGTGAAAGGTACGCCTAATTCCTGCAGCCAAATTGAAATTGAAAAGTTTGAAAAGAACTTCTGAGCGTGCTGTAAAGGCGCGYACGCAAAAMTCCTACATCGATTCCTATCTTATCTACCAAAAATGAAAAATCACGCAAGTAGCAGGGACATTTCCAAAATTCACAAATTGAGCTCAACTGGATAACCGACCCAAGCCGCACATGGACACTCCTGCAGAATACGTCAGAATAAAAAAGATGAACCGAAAACATAATATTCAACCCCTTTAAAGAAAAAGAATCTGATCTGAAGGGGCGCAGGAACCTATGTGAACGCGTGAATTTGATCTGAAGGGGTGCAGGAACCTGTGTGAATGCGTAAGCCTGTGCGGCACATAAGGGCGTTTTCAGCCCCAGAGAGAAGTGCCTCGGAAGTACTGGTCGATGCCTACCATGGGCTGGGATGAGCCTTGATAGAGAGGTCTGTTTCCGGTTTGATCAACTTCTGATCTATCATTGTCAGAACTTGTATGTGTTGTGTAAAGAGGGGAGGAAAGAAAGAGGCCAATCGGTAGTTTGCGCAAGGCATTATTACATCCCACAGACTGAGGGCATACTTCTCATACGAGTAGGGCCTGTAAATGTGCACTCCAAATCCAAGATGTGCGAAACAGATTGACACGACGTGGAATCGTAAGATTAGAGTGGACGCACTCTAGGCCCGGAGGGGCAGCGGAGCGCTACCGGGAGCGCTCCGCCGCTCGACGTTTTGACGCGACGGCAGGCTCCTTGGTGAGGGTGGGAAACGAAGGACGGTCGGGGTGTCATGATGGCAGTTTCGACGCGAGGATGAGAGTGCGGGGCGAGAGGATAGCAGGTGGATGATGAGGCGGGAGAGGGATTGTGGGGTATGGAGGAGCAGGCTAGTGGTGTCTGGGCGCAGAAGGCTCTCGTGTTTGTTGTTTCTGTCACGTGCTTGCGTGCATGAGAAGAAGAACACGGGGGCAGCGTGTCTCATATCATGGTCTCGTTGGAGAGGAGGAATGTTGCGGGGGAGTAAGGGGAGGTAGGGAGGGTTTCATGGGCTAGAGGGAGAATATTACAAGAAGGAATGGAAGGAAGAACGCGGGAGAAAGGATGTTGAAGACAGGTCTTCTATAGGCGGGCGACGTCTGCGGCGATGACACCCCTTCATCTCTGTGGGCTACCTGCGAGGGGTGGCTGGCAGGCTCGGCGGTTTAGTCGCGTGACGTGGTTTGGATCGTTGTGATGGTAATCCTAGCTGTGGTCCTTTTATCTTCATCGTTTGGTCCATTGGGATGGTTGAATAGGTGCCAACCACAGGCGGTTGAGTTGCTTGAGAGCCGATGAAGGAGGAGGTGAGGTTTGGAGAGAGGGGGGGKGCGTTTAGGGATTGTTGAGGGTAAGTTGTGTTCTTCCTCTTCACTTTTTGTAATGATGATTATGTGATGACCCTGATGATATTCTTAACGATGTGATTCCTGGATAGTGTTGTCTAGTTCAATACCTTTTAGTCTTTCTAACCTTGAATTCTAGATATGTAACAAAAATATATCTAATAATTCTGATTCCGAGGTTTAAAAATCAAGATTAAATCAAGATTAATTTTGATCTAATTTGTTTGACCTAGTTTGTTTGTCTGTTTCTTTCGAATTTCACATCATTAGCCATGTCGATTGTCGTATGTTTTGTTGTTGGAATTACTTCCTGGCAATAGTCTTAGCCTGAGATTTGTAAATTAGAGGTTGGGCACCTTTCATTTCTTAAAAGTAATTCTCAAATCTTAACTCAATCTCGTTTGATTTTCTGATTTGTGTCGATGCTTAAATTCATGAGGTAGGTRGTCTTGATTTCGAAATTCTAATCATTCTGATGTCTCAATACTCATTCCTATGCATGGTTCTGACTTTTTATCGTATCTTTTTTGGTGTTTCCTATTCTATGTACTGGTAGTTCCAAAAGTGTTCCATCTGTTGCTGGAAATTGTTCCTATCTGTTTTGGCTATTGAATCTAAATGAAATTATCTCCTTCAGGGTTGGAGCCCCTCCCTGCGAAGGTTACACAGGGTGGGTGGTGTGATCTTTGAGAGGGAGGGGCGGTGTYGAGTGTTTGTCCTTTTCTGGGCCACACTGATTTTTGGGTCGGATCAGCTATGGTGGTGGGGGAGAGAGGACAAGGGGTGCTGATGCCAGCATGGTGAGATGTTGAAGGGCTGTTTCACTTGGAGGGTGTGGGGCAGGAGGGAAGGGGGATCTTTGGCTCTGCGGGGCATAGTTTAGGGGGTACTGTATGCAGCTGAGGGGGCAGGAGTGACATTTAAGGGGCTGTTCTGATCTGGGGCTGAGAGGCGAGGGGCGCTTCCCTGCGGAGGCAGTGATTAGATAGGGGGTCGGTTTTTTGGGGGAGAGGAATAATCCGTTTTGGTTCTTGTGAGCCTTGTACATGCAATCGAGATTTSAATAGGCGCTGCAGTGTCCATGGGGAGAGAGGGTGTTTTTTTCCCTCCCTTCCCCTCTTCTTGTGGGATTATTAGGCGCTGAAACGTGTATATGGTTTTCTCAATCTTTTGATTTCCTGATTTCTCAATATGTTCTTGAATGGGATTGAATTTTCTGATTAAAAAATTCTTTATAAGCCAGCGCTGGTGGCAGGGGGCTGTGGTTGCGATGGTGGGGGATAATGTGGTCTGCGGCCATGGGGCTAGCCTGTAGGGTGGAAATCGGGTATAGCAGTGGTGAAGAAGGTGGCTTCATCGCAGTAAGACTTGCCGGAGTAGGGTTGTGAGGGTTCTTATGTGGGATATCTGCAACCAGTGCCTGAAGGAGCTGAATGATCGGAACTACAGTTATGGTGCTGATTGGTGGCTTGTCTGGTATTTGCCGTAGTCTTGGGTCCCCGTGGGTTTGACAAGGCCAGAACGACGCTGGTCGGTGTTGGGGCTTGGTCGCGCTGCCCTGTAACTCGAGCTGTACGATGGCAAGAGACCCGGTAGAGAAATCTGGGGAGTTGTCAAGGGTGGAAGGCAATCTAGTGTCCTTTGGTAAGCTGGTACTTAGTAGACGCTTGTCAGAGTCGAGGCGGGTCGTTTTGCCCTGTAGCCTAGCAGGTGGGAGTCTTCTGGGGTGGGTCGTGCCTGTAACCTAGCAGTTGGGGGCGTGAGGCCTAGTAGAGACTAAGTATCGGGATATAGGGATGAGGCAGGTAGGGGTCGGCTACTGAAAGGCTCTAAGGCAGGTATTTCTCGATCTGAATGTTCTTCTATTAGCCCCTTCGAGGCTGTTTCGGGGCGGGTCGTTTTGCCCTGTAGCCTAGCAGGTGGGAGTCTTCTGGGGTGGGTCGTGCCTGTGGGGGCGTGAGGCCTAGTAGAGACTAAGTATCGGGATATAGGGATGAGGCAGGTAGGGGTGGGCTACTGAAAGGCTCTAAGGCAGGTATTTCTCGATCTGAATGTTCTTCTATTAGCCCCTTCGAGGCTGTTYTCATTAGTACTTGGTGCAAGTTACTCTCAGATTTTTCTCAAAAAAAGACCTATTCTTAAAGGGCGTCCCTGCTCAGTTAACCCCCTGGTTCCCGGGCAATCAACACTGGCAGGGGGAGGTCTTCCTAAAAATTTTTCTCAAATCTTCTGAAAAAAAGTCCCTTGAGAATGCCTTAGGATTCTGGGTACTCCTTGCAACTCATTTTAGGCATCTTTGATGCTGTTATATTCGTGGACCTGCGGTTTTTCGATGCCAGAACGACGCTGGCCGGTGCTGGGGGGTTGCCCTGTAACCTGTGGATAGCAGGAGCGTGCGGCCTGGTAGAGAGATCTGGGGATGCCTTGGGCTGGGCATTCCAAGGGGAAACCAAGGGTTGCTGTCGGAACAATGCTGGCCAGAGCTGGGGTGAGTCGTGTTGCCCTGTAACCTAGCAGGGTGGGGGCATGAGGCCTGGGAGAGCTCGGCAGGGAATTAGACAGTGTTAGAGAATTTTAGTGTTTTATTGGGGAGTCCAGGGGTTCTGAGCATTCGAAGGACTTTTGTGGTAATTGCTGCTTGAGTAGCCTAGCAATAGGTCAACAGTTATACACGTTTTTCCTAAATCTTCCTAAACTTTTTTCGTAGTTTTCAGATTGTTCTTAGCCGAAGCCAGGTATTTCAAATCATTTGTATATTCTACATGGGATGCTGGGCCTGGTTCCCAGCACGTGTTGCTCCTCACGAATAGATCGGAGCATTTGTCCCATAAAAAAAAAATAAAAAAAATGTGGATTTAATTTACTTCCCTTATTCTGTTGTAAGGACATCAATGGGCTGACCGTTGACCCAAGGACGCTTACCATTGGCTGAGATGAGCCGTGATGGAGAGGTCTGTTTCCCCATGAATTTCTTATCTTGCACTGTCACAACTTGTATGTGCTCTGTAAAGAAGGGAGGAAGGAAATCTGGATTGCCTCCCTTATTCTGTTGCCTTTTTTTTTTTTTTTTTTT